AAAATTTATATTCTGAACGTGAGGGAAGTTCGTGACCTACAGTGGCATTAGGCCTACCTTCCTAAACCTTTTTGCTCCAACAACGTTGTATTTTGATGTTGCTGTGTGTGAAATCAAAATTAATAAATAAGGTGAAAATCTTTGCTGACCAAAAGAGAAGGGTATCATTTATTGGAGTAAAGAGAAGCAAACTGCACAAAACAACCACTTAACTTATTAAGTCCGGGCAAAAAAGCAAGACGGACAACTGTGGCTACTCTAGGCCCATGATTAATGTCGGCACGCATGGACAATCAAAACAGAAATAAAAAATTAATTAAAAATCACTGGTCTTTGCCTATTACCTCCGAAACTTTGGCCCTGTGGTAAGGGTAGGCTACTGGTACCAAAAAAAGAAAGAGCAGAAGGTATGGGACGGCACCTCACATTGATTTGATAAGTGGAACAATGACGTCACGGTAAGTGGAACAATGACGTCACGGTAAGTGGAACAATGACGTCACGGTAAGTGGAACTTATGATACTATTTTACTTTGCCATTTCAGAAATATTTTTTTTTACTAAAAGGAAAATCCAACGTCTTATTCCTCTGAAAGCCAGTAATTGTAGTTTCATGATTTTTAAAGGAATCGGCCTACATTATTACAAAGACCTTTAATATTGCTTTATCGTACCCGGTATACTTTAAAGGAAATATCTTTAGGTAGGCCTATTACTTAACCATTGAACTAATCTGCTGTTTAGCATAGGCCTACTCATTTTAAGAAGAACAAAAGTCCCCTTTTACAATAAACGGGCTTTTATTGGGCTATTTGTTGTTGTTTTTTACTCAAGGAATTGGACAGGCTATTTCGGCATAATTATTACGCTTTGCATCACCGACAGGCACCACATTAATAATTTATGTTTAAAACAATGACCTTCCTGTTAAATTTAATGATAGAAATAATTAAGGAGAAAAACGTTTAACGAGTGGAAACGCTAACTTAAAAAGTCTTTGAGGTGAACAAATAACGTATTCATAGGATATAGACATTACTTTTTTTATCATTAGTTCACCCAGCTACAAAATTTGTACAAAATAAAATAGCGACAGACGCGTAAAAGCCTGCATAAGTACATGCCATCCGGGAATCGAAATGGTTATTTAGAAATAACCTACTAAACCAGGGAGCTAGGTTATAGAGATGCCTAGTCAGCTTTCGCTGGGATGCGCTATAAAAAAGATTATATTCACAGAGCTGAAGATCCATTTTTTCCACATGGCATTTATTTTCTTTTGTTGTTCATATTTCTTTTGTATCCGTTTCCATGCCCTAAATGTTCGTGTACCGAATATTATTCCGAAAATTTAAATTATTTCGCTCATCGAAAGATTTTATAAACAACGCTGATTTTTGTTTTAGAAAGAGTTTTACACGCACTTGCAACACAATAAGGCCATATGTGTGCCAAAGATTAGAGGTGTTACAAGAGAGTAATAAACACAAAAAGAAGGAGGAGAGATAATATGTGATGCAGCGTGGTGGAATGAGGCTCTCGTAAATTTTTGGGCATGTAGAGTTATTGGTGTCATCTTCAAGCTTGTTCACTTATCTTTTATTTGGATGGAAAAAAATCCATTTATCTCGAATACAAGTCGAGACATTGGCGAATGAATGAGGTGGGGGTCACATGTTTTCAGTGGTAAAATTAGTTTTAAAATGGCCGCCAAAGATTAGTTATTTCTTTAGCTTAAGAGTCCGTGGTAACTGAAAATTTACATTTTTTGTGCCTTTAATCAACGTTTTTCAGAAATATCCACGCAGAAATGAGTTGTTTTATGGGCTTGAAAGGTGTTTAGCCAAAAAACAAAAATTTAATAAAAATGCAAAAACCTGCAGAAAAAAGCAAGTTTCTTCACTTGGATTATTTTGACGAGAGCCTGATTCCACCACGCTGCCTCACATATTCCGAAAACATTACACAAAGATTTTCCAAAACCGCCGATTGCGCTCGCAACTGCATAAGGTCATATGAGTGCACGAAACGAGTTGTTTTTTTTCTCAACAATTTATTTCTTGGTCAGGTACTGGTCAATATTTCTCTTTATTTATAACAACTTTCTAAATGACATTTAAAAATTCATAGCTTTCCATAAAGGCCAATGGGCCTTCATAAAATCCAATATTCTGTTGGGATCAACGACGGAAAAAATGTCTTTCAATTTTTTGCATTTAAAGTATTTCCTTCGAATCTCTCGGAAGTCTAGACATTCGATTAAAATGTGTCTTAGTCTAATGGTAAAATCTGTTTCGCATCCGATGCAGTACGGCTTCTCATCTCCCTGAAGGAGGTATTTGTGTGTTAGGGCCGTGTGTCCTGATGCGTAATCGAGTGAAAATGACTTCGTCTTTTCTGGAGAGGTCCGAAGGATTTCGCGGTTCCAGTTTGGGTTTAATATTGTGGAGTTTGTTACTCGTCTGTTTTTTTCCAGTGGCTCTCTCACAGGCTGGGGGTGTACTTTTTTACTTTATTTTTAAAGTCAGTCCGTGGGAAAGTGTTCGTCGTTGATCCCAAGGATTTCTTCGCCAGGTCATCTGAAGGCAGGGAGGTGACCGCGTATGCCGAGTGTGTGCAGGTCTCTGAGAATACCGTACTTCCAGGTAGTATCGAAGGCTTTTTCTAGGTCGAAAAAGATGGCGATCATATGGCCTCCTTCGGCAAACGTCTCGCATATAAAGGACTCTAGGCGGACCAGGTGATCCAGAGTGGAACGAATTTTCTTGAATCCGCACTGGAGACCACTCAGCCAGCCTGTCGTCTCCAGAAACCACATGAGTCGCCTGTGGATCATTTTTTCTAAAAGTTTGTACAGACAGCTGGTTAGTGCTTTTGGTCTGTAATTGGATGGGTGCGTGTTGTCTTTGTTTGATTTGGGTATTGGAATGACAGTGGCGAGATGCCAAGACTCCGGAAAGGAGTGTGACCGCCACATGTCGTTGTATAATATGTCTAATAGGAGTGTACGTGTCTAATGATCTGGTTGTGGATGTCATCCGGTCCCGGGGCTGTATTGTCCAAGTCCGAGATGCACGATGTTAGTTCGTCTAATGTGAAGTCTGCGTTGTAGGTTTCAGTGTTGTTTGAGTGGAAGTTTAGGTGTTGTTGTTCTCTGTTAGTTTTGATGTCTTGGAAGGTGGTGTTGTAGTTTGCTTGGGATGAGTTTTTGGCGAGAGATGTAGCTATTGTGTTTGCGATGTCTACTTGTGTTTCAGCTGTGGTTCCATCCGGCCTCTAGACATGCCAGGTGGTGTCTGTGCGTCTACCCAAGAATGGCCATTGTTGACAATCCTCATAATACTTCAGGACACTTACAGGCCTACCGTCTCGTCGTACAAATACATGTTGAGGATTTGATTCTATACTTTTTAGGGGGGGGGGGCTGCACCTGAAGGCTATCTCGCTTATTACTGGACCAAATTTTACCAAATTTCACACATATAACAAGCATAGTAAGGAATCTTAAAATCCGCAATCAAATTTGAGAACAAAAAGTTTTGTTTCCATGGATACGGCGGCCATATTGGATTTTGTTGACATGTCTTACGTAATGAATACCGCACTTATCGCTCTTGGAAATTGTTTTGTGTTTTTTTTTGCAGACGTGTTAACATACATTAGATCTAAAAAAATTTGTCTGTTGTTCTTTTCCTAAACGAATTAGAACATTCTTAATGAATTTTTTCCTGAGGTAGCATTCAAGTTTGCAAAAAGTCCGTGAAAATCCACACTTTAGATGCCACCAACAAAAATCTATTCCATATATATAACTTTCAACACACAAATGTTTAGTATTACATCCTCTCTTGATTCTGTGAAAATGTCATAAAGATTAGATGACACATGGTGGAGTTATTAAAAAAAGTATAGAGAAAAGTCGCGTTTTGAGAAAACGGCAGATAAAGAAAAATAAAATACTGACTTTATGAGGCAATGGCAGTGACAAACATACCCGCTATGGGAAAAAATACTGTTTTGGAGGGTTCTTAGGGGAGGAAATAGTTGAAGAAGAGGCTAAGGAAGCTAAAAATGCCTACAACTCAAATTCCATAATTTTGAGCCAAATTTTGACTTTGGGGGGTGTAGCCCCCCCCCCCCTCCCCCCTTAAAAACTAAATCCTTTGTGGCATTTCCTCAAGTACATAATGTGGAAACCGAGACAAAAGCAGACATATTACAAGGAACGTCTACCTGGCAGCCACGTTTGAATACCAGGAAAACTACTCACGTCTCTGAATCGTTCGTATATTATGGTCACTTTTAAGGACAAGCGAGCTAACCCAGATTTCGGGGATTTCCAGAAATCTTGACCCACACCAAAAGAAGGCATTGCCCTACCTATAGGAGAAGTTTGGTTTCATTGGTGTGTATATGTGTTTAGTTATAGATAAAACCCTCCTTGAATTTAAAAAAAAAGAAAAAAAAAACTGAACAAGGGGCCAAAAACTTTCCCTTCTATTTTTCTCAAAACAGCTTTTTTCCTGATCGCCCCCTTGTGCTTAAAAGCGACCATAATAATATAGAAGCATACATTCCCGGGCAGGTTTTCTAGAAATGAACTCTCCGTAATAAGTAGTCCAGCCGGACCAGGAAATAGGGTTTTATTGACTTCGAACTGGACGGAACGCTTAATCTATATTTAGGAATTTATTTTTCCTACGAGGCTGCAAAGCTGTATGAAATCCTGGAATCCAAATAATGGTGTGTAGAATTAACGGAGCAGACAAGAGAGCTATTGCGAGTTCATGAGAGCCTTGGGTGGAGATGCACTACTACAATACTCGAACACTGGCCACTATTTCTTATTATTTTAGAATTTTTTGCCAGGAAGAGGGGTAGGATGTCAAGCAAAGGCTTAAAAAAAAATAATTAAAGTCAATATTCGGTAGAGGTATTAACAAATTGCATGTAGTTCATTCAACCACTCTGCTTTAAAATAACACAGAAAACACAACAGGAATGATACAAATTATTTTATTAAAATATTGTAGTAGTAGTCAACTCAAACATCCATTTGTACAGACAGTAGTGAAAATATGTCATCTAAAATCAAACACGCCGTTATGCACACGTCAAAACAAAACTAGTGTCATTGTAATTAAGGATTAAAATTTGTCGCTCGGACACATCATGGGGAACTCGTTAGTTCCTACAGACATTCAGAGGCAACAAATCTTCATGCCAATTTTTTATTTTACAGTTCCACCTGCAAGCACTCCAATTTCTAAAAACACGTCTAAAAGCATTTGGATATCACATAATATAATAATACAAAAAATATTGCAGAAGCGAACTCGGACGGATAAAAAGAAAATATTTCAGCAACAGGCACTGAAGTGCCTGATATTTGTCAGTAAGAAGTTTAGAAAAATGAATAAGATAATACCTTATTTAAATAATGAATGACTGAATAGATAAAATCAGTACTTTCACATACCATCAACGCTCTAAACCGTAAACGTTATGTTTATCGAAATAGAAAATAATACGATATAAGGTATTTGGGTTTTTCACATATCTTGATTGTTTTTGAGATTTTAAGGTGAACTGTCTTACAACAATAATTTTCATACGGCAGTACTTACACATTTCAATCTAACTTTACTTGTTCGGGTCCATTAGAGCTTCTTTAATACTCTCAAAATAGCTATGGGATGAGCATGTCATTATTATGTATACAAGCGAATTTATGTGCCTTGTACGAGAAGCTTTTGTGCGCAATTTCTAGACCATTGTGTACGTGTCGATGCATATGTGTATTTACTTGAATTTCAGAAGTATAATAATGTGTGTTTACCCAATGGCACGCACCAGTGTGCTTATTGATGTACTAGTATGCGTTTGTGTTTATTTTTTAGACTAAAGTAGGTGAATTTCAGTGATGCGTAAGGGCAAAAGAAGAATGTCTAAAACCAAATAAAGACTACTGGGTAGTAGTCACATGATTAAAAACAGGTAGGACCAAATGAACTACTGAAGGGTTTTTTTTCCTATGTGCGAATTCATTTTTTTTACGTTCCCCTGTTGGATCTCAGGGGTAGTCGACTGCTGATTCTTCAAACTGCTGTGCAACTGATCTTTACGTATACCACCGTATTTCCTACTTCATAGGGCCCCATACCTTCAAGTAGCCACTATTCGATTTCGAAGGGTATGTGCGACTGTTTTAGATAAGATTCCAGTACATGTCTTTAGCTGTTTCTGATTTTGTTTTTAAAATGACACAGATGGACAACTTGGAACAAGCCAGTCAATGGATCAAAACTTATAAAAGCAAAAATTGTAAATTGTAACTAACGCTATTTTTACCCTCTCCATTATATAGTTCACGAAGTGGCCGAACACGTATGGATTTGCAGGAAGGTCATGTTTCCTGTGACACCAGAGGGAGTAGTTGATTAAAAAAACCCACCAAAACCTCGGAATGTTTCGTGAAGCTTTTGCTCGGTATAAGCATGCCTTTTGAAAGACATACTAAAGGGATTTTTAAAACTGTTTCGTCCATACTAAAGTACTCTGGCCAAATATTCAACAGACAGATTACCTAAAAATGATTTTAAATTGATAAATTTGAAAGCGTTATCACATGAGTTTCTAAATAAGGCTTTTGAAGTGTGTTATAATCCATCAGCGCAAAAGTTGTTACCACCGTTTTGCAACATTTGATAATCATCTCTAACAGTTTAACACATACAGTGAAATCAAGAGCAAAGTTAGAATGCTTCAAAAGATTTTTAAAAATTGCAGAGACAAGAGTTCTCATATAAAAATGTTCAAGTTGATTTTTTTCCTTAGAAAGCACAAAAAAACTAATCAGTGTACTACTGACATTGGTGAAAAAAAGTAGCTTTCCTCCAATTCATCACTTGTAAGATTGTGTATAGAACTTGGAATTAAGGAAAACAAAATTAAATGGTAAAAATAGTCTATGTAATATTTCCACCGTCGATCTAAATACCTAAAATTCGAACTGATAAAACCACTATGAGGTATGTGCTGAACATCCTTTAAAATATTACACACCAACATAACAACATAGTAAATTCGTATGTTGTGAGGCAACCCAAAGTTAACAAATTGATTAACATCTTCACTGCTGAGTAGATTAGTATAGTATGTACTCGCATGCGTTCTCCAAAACTCTAGTTCTCTTCCACTTTTGTACAAGGCTACACGGGGAGTTTTAGGAAATAATGTAATAATAACAACTAGATTATTCACGAATAAGGAGGAAAATTAATAGTATGGTTTTGTCTAAATCCTTCCTGAATTTACAAAATGTTCTCTTCTCGGTATAGACGTAGATGGAAACGTTTCAATAATGAAAGGGTTTAAAAAGCAAGTGTCTTAAATTTAAAAGGGGAGAACAGGGGAGTTCTATTCAGTTCCCAATTGTAAGTGAAGCCACGCTAAGAACAGGAGACCCTTGTGGGTGAGGCGAGGTCACGTGCTGTGAGAGGGGCAGAGGGTTGTGCGACAGGGGAGAGTGGCTGAGGAGCGAGGAAGAACACGTCGGTGATTGCGTCAGTTCCGGCGGCGGGTAGAAGCAGTGCATGACGGTCACCTCCATGTGCAGCGCCCCCTGGCGAAAGAATCGAGAGCCCGCGCCGACCAGCTCCTGGCGTTTCATGAATTTGCTGATGCCTGCGATTGTTTTTAAAGTGAAAGAGAGAAGAAAAAAAATAAAGAAAAAGTTGAAGACAAGTTATTGCTTTTATGTATAGCTTTGGTCACCTCTATGCTTCATGCAAAAAGCAGGTGGATGGTTGGGGGCGCTACGGTGTGGTTTCTCCTTCTGTCCTGTCAAACATCTATTGCTGCTTCCTTTTCTTTGCAAGCTACTCTCTAGTTAATCTTTCTTTTACGACAAAATAAATAGGTTATACTGTTATAATATTTTTTGATTGATTGAGTAGGTGTTCTACGGCACTATCGACTCACTTTTGGTCAATATACTGTTATAAAGAATCCCCAAAACAACCAAAAATCAACCAAACAACTTAATATAAAGAATTTGAGATCTGAACTTACTTTTACTCCTTGTACGCCTGGTGGGTGGTTGACAGGCGCCCTGGTATAGTTTGCTGCTTCTCACCTTCTATCAAAAATGTACCCCCATAATCTCTCCTCCTCTTTGTATGTTACTATCTTGTGTCATCTGTTTGAGACACAAATAAATGACTTAACTACGTTTGAACTGCCGTTAGACTCTTACGAATACAAATTAAACGCCCCCCCCCCAAAAAAACACCCCAACAACCAACAAACAAACGAAAACCATCCTCACCTCGATTAACTGACTGATTAATTTGAGTAGGTGTTTTACGGCACTATCGTCACAGATCCTCACCTCGTCTGTAGATTCTATCTCCAGAAAGTCCAGGCCTGACTACACGCGGTACCTCCCTCACGACGAGGGTGGAAGAGAAGTTGCTACGTCGAGACACAGAGTTGAACTGGTCGTAGAGCGTGACCAGGCACGTGGCGTTGAAGGGGAAGATGAGCTGCTCATCGTAGTCCCCGGCCAGCAACGACAGGTGGAGGCTGGAGTAGCGGTTGGCGTTCTCTCTGTGGCCGTCCAGCTCCAGGGTCAGCTGCACCTGGAAGCATCATCATTATCATCGTCATCATCATCGTCATCGTTATTGTCATCGTCGCTATCACCATCATCATCATCATGATCTTCATCGTCATTGTCGACATCATCATCATCGTCATCGTAATCGTCATCACCACCACCATCACCATCACCATCACCATCACCATCGTCATCATCATCATCATCATCATCATCATCGTCGTCATTGTCATCGACATCGTCATCATACTCATATTCACAATCATAATCTTCTTAATCGTGAGATTGCGGGTTCTGGGTTCGAGCCTCAGCTCGGTTCGACGTTGTGTCCTCAGGAAAAGCAATTGACCCAAATTTCCCCGTTTGTCTCGGCTCTTTCGGAGAGGTGTTACAAGAGAGTAACAAACACAAAAAAGAAGGAGGGGAGATAAAGGCGATGAATGTTTGACAGGAAAGAAGAAGCAAACCACACCAGAGCACCCGCCAACCACCCACATGCATGCTCTTAAGTCATACAAATACTTATAACAAGATGATTAAGAGAATCTAATACCTTATACCCTGGGCAGCCTGTGCAGAAGATGGGACTCTGGTAGCTTCCCCTCTGTCGCCTCTGACCTCCGATCTTGATCTTCCAGTGGACTCGGCCTGTCACGTTCCTCTCTATGAGGTCACGGGAGATCTGGACATGCCTCTGCTGGTTCTCCCGGACAATTGGGAGGAGCTCGTCCGTTGTCCTTGTGGAAGAGAGTTAAAAATTTATCAGGTAATTTGCCTCTCTTTTGGTTTGCTTATTTATTCATCAATTTGAAGAAAGAAAATTTGTTGTTGGAGTAAAGAGAAGCACATCGACTCAATAACGGTCATTTAATGCTGGGGGAAAGGTAAGACAGATAGACAGAAACAACAGAGCGGAAAGTAAAAAAGTAGGACCTACCAGTGGCGCCCTCCAACCACCTACGAGAAAGGAGAAGCACATCGAAAAAATAATGGTCATTTAGTACTGGGACAAAGTCAGACAGACATAGCAGAAAAGGAAAGTAAAGAAGTAGAACCTACCAGTGCCGCCCTCTAAACGCCAACAGAAGATATTTAAGAAAGTTACGAAATCATCAGATAACGTTCTCCTCTTAGGGTTTGTTTGATTAATAAAAACGAAATCGACACAATAATGAGCATTTAGTGCTGGGGAAAAGTAAGAGGGCCAAGCAGAAACAGAGGGACAGTAAAAAGAAGTAGGACCTACTAGTGGTGTCCTCCAACCAGCCACAAAGATTCTGAAGAAAGTTACGAAATTATCAGAAAATTTACCCCTCCTGTGGTTTGTTTGTATATATATTTTTTTTAAGCAAAGAAAAGCACACTGATACAGTTGTTGTCATTTAGGGCTGGAAAAAAAATCAGAGATACTGAACTAGAGGGATAAAGGCCACTTAGTTTTGGTAAGCGTTTTAAGGCACTTTCAACACAATTAGGTCGTTTAATTAAAAGCTGAAAATTAGAGGTGTTACAATGAGTTACACACACAAAAAGGAGGAGGAGATTATAAGGATGGTAAATGTTTAATAGGAAAGAAGGAGCAGACCGCACAATAGCACCCACCAAACATCCACGTGCAACACAAGTAGGTCAAGTGCCGGAGATTAGAGCTGTTAGAAGAGAGAAACAAACACATAAAAGGAGGAGAGATCAGGACGATGAATATTTGATAGGAGAGAAGGGTCAAACCCCACAAGAACACCCTACAACCACATTCTAAAATGTTTCAGAAAGATACGAAATTTACTATTAAGAAATTTGCTACTCCCGTGGGAATTCAAGGGCTGTTGAGCAAACCACACAAGAGCACCCGCCAACCACCTGCAATTCAAACGTGGACAAAATATGATCTACTTTTACTTTTTGTAAGAGTTTTATGGCACTTGCAACACAATAAGGTCATATAAGTGCCGAAGTTTAGAGGTGTTACAAGAGAGTAACAAACATAAAAAAGGAGGAGAGATCAGGACGATAGATGTTTGATGGGAAAGAAGGAGCAAGCCACACCAGGACACTCACCAACAACCCACAATGACCTACTTTGTTATTTTGGCGACGGTGTCCAGGAGGTCAGTGATTGTCTGCTCATGTTTCGAGAGTTTAAATCGGGCGAGTTCCATGTGCCGGCGCATAACCTCGGTGCTCTCTTCGTGGTGCTTCATCTTTGAGCGCTCTTCCTAAAGAAATAGTGGACAGAACGGGCAAAAAGTTTTTGTTTTAGTAAGAGTTTTATGGCACTTGCAACACAATAAGTTCATATAAGTGCCGAAGATTTGAGGAGTAACATGCACAAAAAAGAAGGAGAGAAAAGGACGATAGATGTTTTATAGGCAAGGAGCAAACTACACCAGAGCACCCGCCAACCACCCACACAGAACGGGGGGGAAATGGCAAGTCATTTGCTTGCAATGGCAAAGAACCGAAGGAGAATGGAGTGGAAAATGGTGAAATGGTGTGGGGTTCAGTTTCGGTAGGGTTGTTTTTTTTTACGTCAATCGCAACTGCATAAGGTCATAATATGAGCGCCAAAGGGTGGATGTCAACAGAGAAGTCCAAACGGGGAATCAGGCTTACTCAGCTCACCTCTCTAACCTCAACAGCACAAAGTCTGCTTCGACTATCAAGACACCCCAGGGCAATGGAGTGAAAATGGTGAAAAGGTATGGGTTTAACGCCTCTATTAAAATTATTGGGTTTTTTAGGAGGCGGGACCTTCGAGTTTAACGTCCATCTAAGAAAACACCGAGCCAGATGGGATTTGTGTAAAGTGTACTTCCCAAGGACATCACAGTTGGACCGAGCTGAGGCTCGAACCCCCGAACCAGCAAACTTACGATTACGAGGCAATGGAATTTGAAAGGACATAGTGGTATTATAGCATGAAGGGGAGGAAACAAAACTTCTGGCACACATTCTTTTAGTTTTCTTTCTTTCTTTCTTTCTTTAATTTTTTATTAATTTATTTTATTGTATTTTAT